CCTCAAATAAAATCAGCCGCTCAACCCAAAAATTTCAAATGTTCACCAGACTTGAAGAATGTATGGAGAATGTCTCAAATATATCGAAAACAAAAGGAATCTTCAGCTGTATAGTTTACAGTTAATTCCCAGAAAGGTGTCAATTTCACCCTTGCCATATTCCAGTCAACTTCCATGTGATTGGCTCAAGTAGGGCCTGTCTGGATACCACTTTTATTGAGAAAAATCGCGATAATTTTGCAAAATATTCAAGAATCTCAGCGACTTCAATTTGGCGTGTCTGGATGCCATTTCTTGACCAAGTTATACTCCATAATTTTATCAGAAATATCGTGAAAACCACAAGAAATAATATTCTACTCATGAGTAGAATATTTTGACGATATTGACAGTGCGCGTTGAATTGACTGGGCATTTCGGAATGAGAAAGGCCATCGTGATTGCCTTCCTACGTCGATGGCTCATCCGCCGCCGCCTGGCCAAGGAACTCTTCGCCAGACAGATGGAGTACCACTACCTCGCCTTCGTCCACAAGACACGAAAGAGGACGTCCATCCTCAGTGGTCCTCTCTGGGTGGACGAAGTCCTCTGCGGCTCTGTACTATCCACTGATTGGCTGTTCATTTCCGAACCTTCATTAATTCTATGGCATCCAGACTCACCACCCAAAATAATCTTGGATCTTGAAACCCAAGAATTTCCTGCAATGTCGAAAAATGTTTTTTATTCAATATTCCAATATCCCATAATATTGGTGGGTGGCATCCAGACGGGCCCTAAATAAAATCAATTGTTTTCTAATTTCACAACTATTACTACGTAGTACTTCGAAGTATTAATACTACGTAACTTAGTACTACGTAGTAGTAGAATGTCCAAACGTGTCAGTGATTTGGGACGGAGTGGTATTTCGAAGTATACACACATTCCTTGGAAGTTGGTAAAGAACCTACATTTTGAGGAATGCTGGTTGATTGGTAAATGTATCTGATTTCGCAGGCCATCGCATTATAATTCAAAACTGAAATTGTGTTTCTGAAACACAGTTGATTTTGTGTTCTTTTGATAGTATTATATTGCCTGGTAGTCTTGAAGTGACACCCCAAAGGTCACAACACTCTGATTTGAAAGTGTGTAGCCTGCAATAAAAACACTATATATGCCACGTAACATTATACTTATATTATGTATAATGTGGTCTGTACTCACTATGTACTATATTGAGGTGCGCATCATGATGGCCGTTTTTAACACTTCAACTTGAGCGCATCTGATTGACTGAGAACATTCCACCTCATGAAATGACTTCCTCTGAAGGAGAAGAAGTCACTTCACCATTTCTCCTGGACTGCAATATCGCCATGAGCTCTGAGAAAACCCCGCTCTTCCACGTTGTGACCAAGCCTCGCAAAGCCAAGGCCAGCTCGAAATTGGTGCTGTATGCCGTTGGGGTCCTCGGTGCATTGGCGACTGTCGGCACGATCTTAACCAGTCATCAATCGTTGACTGCACTCGTGGCTCCAGTGTCCAACTTGGCGGTGGTAAACAACTCTGTGTTTTGCGACGTCACCAAGCAGCAGTCTGGGTACATCAAACTGCCGCACAAGGTGAACGACAAGTACTTTTACTGGTTCTTCGAGTCGCGTTCGAACCCCGAGACGGACCCGCTGGTCCTGTGGCTCACGGGTGGTCCTGGATCGTCGTCCATTTTCGCGCTCTTGACTGAAAACGGCCCTTGCACTATCGACGCCGACTTGAACACGGTGCGAAATCCGCATTCATGGACCAACCACGCCAACGTGATTTGGCTGGACCAGCCCACGGATGTCGGTTTCTCGGTCGGCGATGACAAGGACGACGACCACAACGAAGAGGATGTGGGGCGCAACATCTACGGCTTCCTCCAAGGGTTTCTGAAGAAGAACCCCAAGTTCAAGTCCCATCCGTTCTTCATCACGGGCGAAAGCTACGGGGGCCACTACGTGCCGTCCGCCGCCCACTACATTTTGAACCAATCGCCCGATAACGATGACGTGCATATCAACTTGAAGGGCATTTCCGTGGGCAATGGGCTCACGGACACTGTGACTCAAATTCCGTACACTGCCGACATGGTCGACAACGCGTACAACATCACGCTGGTGCCCCCCGCCGATGTTCCTGCATTGAAAGAAGCGGCCAAAGCGGTAGGGAAACTAGTTGAGGCATGCCAATCGCCTGTAAACGAAACCCAAACGTGCCTTCAAGCCCTGAAAGCATGGGACGAGCTTGCAATCGATCCACTGACCAGAGACTCCAAGCGCAACCCATACGACATCCGCGAAGACTGCACGAACGGCTGCATCGACCGTATGAAGTACGGCCTCGTATTTCTGAATTCGCCCGCCGTCCAAGCCAAGCTCCACGTCAACAAGACGTGGGCGTCGGGGTCGCCCCGAGTGTACCAGGACTTTTCCGTCGACTTTATGAAGAACTACGTGCAGTTCGTGCCCGAGTTGCTGGCGGGGGGCGTCCGGGTCCTCATCTACGCAGGAGACGCCGACCTCATGTGCAACTGGATCGGCAACGAAGCGTGGACCAAAAAGCTCGACTGGCCCGGCAAAGCCAGTTTCAATGCCGCTCAAGTCAAACCGCTCACAGTTAACGGCAAGAACGGCGGCCAAGTCAGATCCAGCCGCAACTTGAGCTTTGTCCGCGTGTACAACGCCGGTCACATGGTGCCCACCGACCAACCGGAAGTGTCGCTCGCGCTCATCAATCGATTTTTCAACCATTTTCCCTTGGACAAGGAACACCCAAGCGTCTAAATCTGGGCGATTTGGGCAAGAAATATTCTTCGTAGTCGTGTTGTACATTGAAGCAGTTTAGTTTCCAATGGCGTTCCATGCCACCAAGTTTCAACGTAATGTCATGTTGTTTTCTAATGTGTCCAGTGTGTAGACCATCCACCACAGTGAACCCCCCATGGATATATTTGCATATTAACGCTTTTATTACTGTACTGCTGCCTGCTGGCCGTCACTCGAATCGAAGGAGGGTAGTTGATTTATTGGGGTTCAAACTACTATTGCTACAGCGTTCCATTCTGGAGGGATCGATTGATGAGGGCGGCCGACACCGCCGGTTGGTCTCGTGGCATGCAATGGCCCGAGTTGAACACTCGCACAAAGGTATGCTCATTCGCGGTTCCAGCTACGTTTCCATTGACCACGAATGGTGTCACGTTCGCGGCATTGAAGCCATCGTGGCCCGAGCACTGGAGCTTCCTTGTCCACGCATCGTCCCCCGTCCAGTCGCAAATGAGATCAGCGTCCCCGGCGTAGATCAGCACCCGCAACCCCGGGCGAGGACACTCGCGACAAAGTGCACGGCGTCCTTTTCTTCGTCGACGGCGAAGTCCTCCAGGACCGTTGCGTTGCTCATCGCGTACGGTTTGTGGACGCGGAGTTGCTGCTGCACCCACGGTTGGTTCAAAAACAAAGTCGTTTTCGCCCCGCCAAGATCGTCATATACGTCTGGCTCGCACAGGTTGGCGTCCCAAAAGTCGTCTGTATCCAACACGCCTGAGTCTGGTTGGGCAGTTGACATTGGGCCACAAGAGCTACTAAGTGCACGGCATCGTTTTGCATTTTCTCGAGTTGAGCGGGGGACACTAGCGTGATGTTGTACGAGTTCTCAACCACCATGTTGACAAGGAGGGGGTACTGGGTGACCGTATCTGTGAGTCCGTTGCCAATGGTAATGTCCTGTAAATTGATTCGAAACGCAGTGGTGTTGGCGTCTTGGGACTGAAGGATGTACGCCGCGACTGCAGGCACGTAATGGCCCCCGTAACTCTGCCCGGCAATGTAAAACGGATTCGCCTGGAGTTTTGGATGTGATGTGGGTTCTCATTTAACGGCCCCCGCTAAATGAGAATCCCACACCTGTGGGCTGATCGAGCCAAATCACGCGATGCACTGATGGAGCGATCGGCCTTCGGAAACCGCTTCGGCGTTTGCGTCGCCACGGCCGTAGTCGTTGGCCGGGAAGCAAGGAGATTGGTACCCGAGGGAGACATAATTGGAAAATGAGTATGATCAATTTCAAATTCGTTAGCCATTTATACGCGTAAAAGATGGAGGAAAGGATCGCACTGTGTTCGAAATGTAATCCAATAATGTTGCAAAGCTAAATTTATATCCGTACTATAAAAAGTTACTTATATATATAATAATAACAGTATTACGGTTCAATGCTCAGGACTATACTCGCATGACAGTACAAGTCACTCCAGGGCAGTTTCAGAAACGAAACCAAATGAATTCGGAAAAACGTCGGATAGAATTTATCTTATCAACGCACAAATCTTATTCACTCACTATTTTCACACAAATCTTATCAACGTAATAACCAGACTATGTCAAACACATTACTGGAGTAATATATTCGACAATTTGCTTCGACCACGAGTGTAGCGATGAACTTCCAGCAAGACGTACCAGCTGACAATGCCCCCTGCATGGCGGGCTATGTGGACTTGCTGGGCCCTCCAGCCTCGGGCGCTAGCGGTAGCGATGAGGATAAGGACAATCTTCCTGCCCCCCCTCCACCGTCAACGCTCCCCTCCCCCACACGATGATCTTCCTGCCCCCCCTCCACCGTCAACGCTCCCCTCCCCCACACGATGATCTTCCTGTCCCCCCCTCCACCGTCGACGCCCCCCATCCCTCACGCGATGATTTTCCTGCCCCCCTTCGTTCTCAACCCCACAACCCCCTCCCCCACAAGGCGGGCGCGAGCTGATTGGACGGCCCCAATCCGACATATGGGCCTGGTTTACGGACGCCAGCTCCCCCCAGCGAACCAACTCGGCAATGTGTTAACATTGCGGCACAACGTGTTCTACTACAAGAAATCCAAGCAATCGTCACACCATTTGAACAAGTGCGAGAAGTTTCGGTCGACAATGATGGCGCTGGACCCACATGAAAGACCAACTTGGTTCGCAGTCAGTACCAAGCGCCAGAAGAAAGCCAAGGCGCTGTCAAGTATGAAGGCCCCAACTGGTATCTCATTTGGCCATCCATCTGCTGCGCCTGTCAAGACCTTGCAAGAGTCCATGCGACGTTATGCTCTGCCCAAGCTATCTCAAGTGGACCTCGAAGCGATCAAGAAATACTTCGCAATGCACTTTTACATCACGAGCACCTTGTTCCATCGTGTTGGTCAGTTTCACCTGAAGCGGGCGTTCCAGCGGGCAAGGCCGGACATTGTGCTTCCAAACCGTCAAGCGTTGGCCAACAAGTACCTCGACATCTGCTACCATGAAGTCAAGCAAGAAAAAGATCGTCGACTGGGCGCGCCGGATACCCAGGTGTGCCTGACAACGGATGGATGGTCAGATGTCAACATGGAGCCAGTAGTTAACTACATGGCAGCAAATGCCACTATGTCGGTTTTTTTGGACAGCAAGTACACTGAAGCTCAAGCGCACACGGCGGAGTGGATCGCCAAAGACCTTGAAGACACTATGGCAGCCTTACCAGCAAATGTATGTGGCGCGTGTACAGACAACACAGCGGAAAATCCTTGAAGCTTGGAAAATCCTTGAAGCGAAGTTCCCAACCAAGTTCTTCCACGGGTGTGTGTGCCACGCTTTAAATCTGTTAGTTAAGGATATATTTGGTCCGCGAAAGACCAAGTGGGGGGGCAATGACGTGCCACGCTATCCGAATGGATATTCATTCGAGCACCTTGCCAACTTCGTGGACAGCTGTAAAGACGTAGTTCGGTTCATCCGCAACAATGGGCGGTTGAAGTCGTCGCTGTCAAGCCTCCAAAAGGCCAACCATCTCGGTCGCCTAGTGATGCCTGCATCAACCCGGTGGTGCACACTGCAACAATGCTTAGTTTCGCTCCACGAGTCAGAGTCATTGCTCCATGACTTGGTCAGAGCCGGGATTTCATTACCGGCTCCGCGGATCAACGGCTGCGGCGGATGGCTGTCAAAGAGACAGTAACGGCTGTTGACTTTGTCTCAAAGCTGAAGCACTGCATTTCTATCTTGTCACCCATCGACAAATGGATCAAGATCTTTCAAAGTGACCGCGTACCGGTGTCAGAAGTGTCCACCAGCTGCCACACGCAATCGGCGACATCTGGAGTCTGAACCTCCATGAATCGAAATACATTGTGGCCGCCGTCAAGGCTCGCTGGGAGTTTGTGTACGGCGACGCACACGAGGTGGGCTACCTGCTGGACGCGCGGTTTGTGGACAGCGGATTTAACAGCATGGAATTCAAGGAAGATGTAGTTGATTTCGTAGTTAACTATCCACCATCGGACACCGCGCCCTCGACGAACAGCCGTACAGATGCTTTGTCGCGTGATCGAAGGAGTTTCAAAAGTACTGCCTTAAGCTGCATAGTTCTAAAGGATGGAGACTAGAAGAGCTGAAGTCCAAGAAGAAGACCGTCGCCGAGTTTTGGATGCTTGATGACCAAGCGTGGCCACTCCTACGCGAACTAGCACTTCGCGTTTTCAACCTTGTGGCATCCAGTGCTGCTTCCGAACGTAACTTCTCCATGCACGGCTTCATCCAGTCCAAGAAGCGAAATAGACTAAGCCCCAGTACCGTGACAAAACTGATGTACATCAAGACGAACTACAATCTGGACGACGAAGTTGGCGGTAAAGATTACTCATCGGACGAGTATACAAACTCTGAGTAAGAGTTTAATCTTGAAATAAAAACTATATAAACTGGTTTTTTATATATAAACTGTTAAACCTAATATCCATTTTTCCAAAAAGTGGATTTTAACAACTATGCCACAAACCCACGAAGCGCTCGATGCCACATCAGCTTTGGATTTGGACTCTGGTATGAAGTTTTCACAGAAATATCTTGGGGGTTGTCCGGATAACGCTACAGTATTTACAACGCTTAGGGACCAAATACAGTGTACTACGTAGTACTCCGGGGTAGTAATACTAGGTAGTCCTTCGAATAAATTTGTTTGACTACTCCTAGTATCATGCTAGTAATATTACATTTCGATTGCTAGAATTACTACATTCCCCATTGAAATCTACGGCCACCTTTCCAATACGCTACGACAAATCGCATTGACTCCGGTGTCACAACATACATACACTCAGTTTCAACGAATCGATTTACTATTAAACGAGATATTTACCAATTTATATACAATTTCGAATTGGACGGGGCCTCCTGCCGTTGTACGACATGATCGGGTTTCCACTTTTCGGCGCATCCGGATATGGGTTTCGGGCTGAGGTGCATACAACTAACTATTAATAGTAAGTACATACTACTAGTACGTAGTAGTATGAACTTGTGGTCCTCACACGTCTTTCAGTGGTGCTCACGAGACTATAAAGCTTACTAGCTACAGTATTATGGTACTAGTACTTCCACATCATTCGCTTTGTCACGAGGCACTAAGGCTCAGTAGTTTGAATCTAGCGTGAAGGTGCTGCCATGTGATCTACGATACACGGGCATCATGGTGGTGGTGTTAAGAGACTATGAAGCTTAGCAGTTAGATTGTAATGTTGTGGTGGTGCCACGTCATCCACGATACACGGGCGTCATGGTGATGAAGTTGTCCCAACTAGTGTGGCGTCATGCGCGCATGACACTTTGGGTGACGTATGTGAGGGCTTGTTGTTCGACGATGCCGACGCGTTTGCCTCGAAAATGGTTGTCTGGGGAACCCAGCATGGTTTTACTGTGTGCAGAACTGGCAAGTATTTTTCCCGTACTAATCCCCACCCTACCCTCGGAGACCGACCAGGACTGCTATGGAGGGCGCACTTGTATTGTAACTTCAAAACTGCTGAGGACAAACCAAACAGTCGAGTGAAGTCATCGTGTCCGTGGACGGTCAAGTTCCATTTTGATCGCTCAAAAATGAGTTACACGGTTACACAAATCATGTTGACTCACTCGCACTCACTCCTGGTGTCTGGGCCTAGTGTTCTTGGAACCCACCTCCTTAAGTTTGCCAACCAACTCACCACGAACGAAATTGAGTTAATCCAAGGCCTTGGCCGTTACAACTTGCCATCTGGTAAAGTGCGCGAAATCGCTGAGCACCAGAATCCTGGCAGAATGTACAGCGACAACCTCTTGTACCGCCTCATGGACAGGGGGCGGCGACTCTTCCTCGGCAGCGACCGGGATAGCATGTCGAAGTTTTTCGACCTCTGCTATAATGTGCGTGCAAGTGGCGGTTCATTCGAGTATGATTTGGACACGTCAATGACTCTCAAGAGCATCATCCTCCAGGTGCAAGTCATTTTGTCAATGTGTCATCTAAAGTGTAATATGTAACAATATTAGTCAGTCGCAATGGCCACGTATTCCAAGGCGTACCCGGATTTCATCCTGTGCGATGGAACACACAATGTGTCTAAGTACACACTCAAGCTAATGCCGTTCACTGTCGTCGATTCGCTTGGCCGCAACACGATATGCGGAATTGCGCTTGATCAGTCTGAAAATACAGAGGTACTCGACTCTTGTTGTCTTGTTGTCAAACTTCGTTCTTATGTTATCGATAACTACCGTATATTAGATTGTGAAGCAAAGCCTTCGCGTATTTGGACTGAATATCCCCGGGGCAACATTTATGACGGACGGGGGAAGTGCGTATCCCAGTAAGATCATTTTGTACGAATTTATACTTACAGGAATCAAATATATAATAGATGTGGCCATTGAGTGCAACATGATCCACGTGCTCTGCACGAAACACTTTGAAAAGGAAATTGTGGCCAACTGCTCCGGACTTGGCCCCTTGGCGGCGGACTATAGGCGAGAGTGCTTCGCATTGATATACGACAATATGACACCAGATGACTGCGACCGGCGTCTCTCCCTCGCGTTGGCCACGTTTGCCCAGTCGGACAGGGCTTGCAAAAGTATTCAAAGTATTTGGACCCACCGTAGTAAAGTCTGTCGCGCATATACAGGTACAATTATATAGTAATCTCAATTATATAGTAATCTCAATTCTCAAGTTTCAGCTAGGGTCGATATTCACCTGCAGCTGCCTTGCCACACAGCGTGGAGAAAGCGTGAACTCTCAAATAAAGGAGCACGGTATCATCAATAATCAATTAAAATTGCCTGACAAATATGTAGGTCACAAGAAGCAGGAACTTCGAAAATTCAATTTATTTCAATTGTTCGAACACCTCGTCCAGCTGTTCACACGGCAGCAGACCAAGGCGCTGGACGAGTTGGTTGCTACCATCATGACCAAGGCTGAGTGGTCATCGTACGTCGAAAAGCGGTGGCGCGCTAGTTATAGCATCATGCATGAATGGTCATTCGTTCACTGTGACGGTGACATGTGGTACGTGTCGGACGTTCCATTGGTCGACGTCACCGAGGCTCGCCACCACATTGAATTGAACTCCGCCGAAGCGTTTCCTACCTGCAACTGCTACGATTTTCTATCGTCGATGATTCCATGTGTCGGCATTTGCCAGGTATTTATTTCAATATTTCAATGTTTTTGTTGTCGATGATTAATACGTTATTAAATAAGGTATTTTCTCGAATTGACAAGCCACTATTTTCAGTCAACAATTTGGCTCCACGGTGGAGACTATCGTGTCACCCGCTGTATTTGGGGGCATTAAAGCAACTAAATGTGACCGATCCCCATGGCGTTGACGATGCGTATCAGCTGAGTCCACCAAGTGCTGCCTCATCCAATCACAGCGTGTCATTAGACGTGTACAAGAAAGTGCACGTCCCCACCAGTGGCGCCATGCGAATTACCAAGTTCCGAAACGCGTGCAGCAGGATTGAACAGCAAGTTGCAAACAACTCGCATCTGTATCGACTTTTTATGGCGAACCTCGCAGCGTTTGAGAATGGCATCGGCGATGAAACTGTGCGCGGGTCGTTGGAGCCATTTCATCTGCCTCAAGATGCGGCATTGATTCCAACTCTCCGCCCCGAGGCTATCGTTGGAAATGCTACGGGTGTTGTCCGTCCGCCCGTTACGTCCTCGTCGAAAAAGCGAAAATTCGACAACGTTAACAGGTGTGAGTCATGGTATTTATATATTGACAAACGAAAGTTAGGTCCAAGCTGTCGAATTGTCTTCTTCAATCCAGAACCGCAGTACCAAGCAAAAATGAAGCGGAAACAGTACGTGCAAATTCGGTAAATAGAGTATAAATTATTTTATAGGAGTATCGCACGCGATCAAGAATTGTCGTCAACGGGAGGGGATAAGTCGGTGGACGGTGCCGCATGTGAGCTAGAATCTGCCCGACTTGGGAGGAGAACAGCGTCAGGAAGAGTACAAAAGGTTGTACTCGAAAAGGATTTTGTGCATTAAAGAATGCAGTTTCCGTTCGTATAACAACTCTCGCACAAAATTGTAAACAAGGCTGATTCACCTCTTAATCAAACAATCCAAATCAAAGACTTCATAGTGTTTGCAAGCAAGCGCTCGTGCATGTCCCGCGATAAAATCAGCCATGGATAAGCAAACATGAACAAAGGAATAAAGCTGCAAAACGCACGAGTGGCGGCTAAGAGATACAATACAACCCTTAGTTCAAATATCATACACATACAACCATCATCACGGACTTAGGACAATGTGGGAATTCATGTACATCTATATGCAGTACACAAATCATGGATGGAACTGGGAAATCGAAGGATGCACGCATCGCCGACTTTGGCTGTCGTCGAAGTCGATGTGAATGACCTATGCATTCAACCACGTGATAGCATTAACGCAACAGTCAACATCATTTAAATGTTGTAAGAGACAACGTACCATTGTGTGTAAGCCCCACTGGACGCCAACGGAAGCGCTTTGTTGTCGTTGGCCTTGGGGCCATGGACTTTGTTGGGCAATGAAATGGCAGTGCTTCAAAATCATTTATCCGGATTCTTCTCCGGATGCGCCGAAAGCGCATGCAAACATAACTGGAAGCGGCGATGGCGGACCGTGGGCGGTCAGAGGCAGCACACTGGCAGCAGAGGTTCTCAAATATCTATCTTTTACCTATTCTCAAACAGTGGGTTGATAGGTAACTTATCTTTTATGGAGGATGACGAAGATAACTTATTTTTCCTGTTATACAGAAAGAATTACTTATTAGAATAACTCCCGGTGAAAGTCCATTTTATGTAGTCATTAACTTGTCTACATCGGTCACGTCCCAAAGACTACAATTCACTTTGAGGAACATTTGCTGCTCAAAGTTCTGGGGGGTTGTGGCACGACGACGATCGTTCAATGCATACTTGGCCCAGGAAAAAAATCGCTCACACATATTCGACGTCGGACGGATAAATCGACAGCCCACGTAGGAGTCAGCATCGGCTGAGCCCTTGAGGCGCTTCTTCGCACGTTGCGCCAGCGTCAATGGCTTATCCTGGCTTGCATCCAAGACCTTTGGGGCCATCTTCAAACGATCAACACTCGCGACTTGACCATTACTCATGGTAGCAATTGATTGGTCCAATATCTTGGTGATGGCAACTTCAAAATTCGCGTGTCCGACGACGCCTGAATTAGACGCCAAGCGCTTGGAAGCTGACGGATGCAGCATACACTCATCAAAGAGATTCCGGATATCCAGCATGGAGGTAGCTTCTTCTTAAAGCGCCAACGTCACTGATTCAAGCTCGTGAAGCACGATCAACAAAAGTCGATTTCGTCGTCTTGGTCGTCGGTCGGGGTGAGGTGCAAAATATTGCGATCGACCAGGAGCCTAATATAGGTGAGGATGGCGACGTAGCGCTTGAGCATGGAGTAGGTGGAGCTCCAGCGCGTGACATTGCGGTTGATCGCACCTAATGGTGTCAAGCGACGTAGCTTTGCAGCTAGTTTTAGGTTTTTTAGTTTTTTCATTAACTCATTGACAGTGTTAGTCAAAGGATCGTATTGAGTCAAAATGTCGGTGACGAAGAGGTTAAACCTGTGACTGGCACAACCAACCAAAGGTACACCACATCGGTTAGCAATTGCGCCATTAGTTGAACAGTTATCACCGATTAGAGCAATAACATTCGACATCGTTTTTACGTATACATCCAATAAAAATACTAAGTACTCGTGATGAGTATCGGCGTTTAACGATTCCTCGTCATTGATTGGGGAAAATGACAAAGAAATTTTTTATAGCCAATCAGATCATCCGTAGGAAATGTAGCAAATACTGCAACAAAATGACTCGATCCAATAGACCAACCATCGAATACTATAGCGAGCATGTTTGGAAGCATGTCAGCGATCTTTTTCTCCACGGTGTCAGTGAGAAGTGACATATATTTCATGAAAGTATTCGTTGAGATGGAATCCAACATTGAGTACTTTCTAGCCATATCATTTTCACAAAACGAAAATGGAAGCAACGAGAAGATAATCCACTGTAGCCACCCAAATACCTTTCGCACAGCATGTGGGATTAGCATGTTGGCGATGATACTAGGGTGATCAGCGTCAGTTTCATTCAAGTGGACGTACTCGGGATGGTAGCTCATTACATGAGAACACAGGTTTGTGTAACCAGTGGTCTTTTTGAGGTGCACGTGCCCACACTTACCTTCCATTCGTTGCCGGTAGGTGTGGTCCTCGTGATGTAGAGCTCAGCGAGCCGCTTTCCACGAAGCGCGGTGGTTTGAGGTCTCGTCGACATGGCAAGTGAGTCAATGTTCAATCGGGGTGTCAAAAGTAATTGGTGGTTATCACTCTAATCCTAATTATGACCAACCAATTTCAAGCACCAATGAGAATTATCCTGTCATTTGGAATAGATTATTTATTTTGCATATGAAGATAAGTTATTTTATTTTTTCTGGTGATGGGAAAAGATAACTTATCTATTTTGGTGGTGCCGGAAAATAATCTATTTTCCGTTCGAATAAAAGATATATTTTAAATAGATTATTTTTTGAGAACCCCTGATTGGCAGTGCTTGACAGTTGCTAATTGCAAAATGAGAAGTGATTTTGAATGGACCAATCATATTGCTAATACGGATAACTAACCGGTCGTCGGAACGCTGTCGGAATCCACTCTCAAGTTTTTAACCTAACCGCCCAAAAAATATGCTAATGGGTATACAAAGACTAAGCTTAAAATGGTGCATCTTAAATTGGACCGCTTGTTTTAAGCTGTTTGTGGACAAAGTGGAGTAAATGATAATGAATAATAACAGGAATCATATCGCATTCAAAACTCCCGAATACGCTTGGATTTTGGGCTTTCATGTAACATATTCTAGAATTATAACCCGATACCTACGAGTCGAGTTACATGCCTTCCACGGCAGCGTCTCGGAAAAAGTGTACTTAAATTGGACTTTTACGTTAACCAAAATCGATGAGCCATACCATAACGACTCGGACGTGAAAACCATTCGGATAGAGCTTCGGACACAGAAATATTTGAGGAATTAATACAACTGTTGTATACAAATTCCAAGCTTGCTTCACGTAATTAAAATAACGATGATAGGATAGGTACAGCGTAACTAGAGACTGCACATCAACGACAACCGCAAGTCCTTACTAGTACTAACGCAGTAACCAAGTGGTCATGCTCAAATAGGTAAAGCGTTAATGATTTCTACGTAGTACAGGCACTACTTCATCCTTCACGCTCGCAAGGGCTGCCGGTAAACTACACTGTACTGCAGGTTCATCAAATAACATATGACAATTATAAAAAGAGATATTATATTCCAAAATATTACTTGCATATAAACTATTTTGAGACAAGAAAATTTAATTCTATTTTGACTGAAGTATTCCGAATGTCGCAAGTCAACTTCTGCTACGAAATTCGATTACATTCTTCACGTGCTTTCGTTGGGCGATTTAGATTTGGCTCTAATGGCCTGTGGGCCGAGAACTGGATAATCGAAGTTACTGTGTGCGGTCGAATAAAATCGAAGTGCGTCGAACAATGCAAATTGAAGAATGAGAATTGAATCCATCGCAATACGGGTTAGGTTTAACACAGCAGCCAACCGACTACTTGTACGGTAAATTTATGCGGATGAAAGTGTCGTTCTGCAGTCATTTCCCACTTTCACTCGTAGCCGACACTTCCTCGGTGTTCATCACACCATCCAATACAAGGAAACGAATCGCATCTACATGTTTAGGAACTGTGGCGACGACGACAGCAGCGACAATGACAACTAAGGCTAAGGCGACAGCGACGATGACAACTGCGACGATGACAACTGCGACGACAGCGACTTACGGTATGTTACTGCATCATTCGGCAATATCGAAAAGTACCTCATTATCATCTCACATATCAGCTGTGGTCATCCAAAGTACTGGTATTTTTCAACACCATCCTACGTAATGAAATATATCACTACTACTAACTTGTTTAGAACGGACACTCCACCCGCGTGATCCAGACAGTGATAGAGGTAGGCGACAAAACTACTTCGCCCGTGACAACCCGAACCATCTAACACCAACGCCAGCCCTCTAAACATCAACCAGTATCAACTCTAACAACCATCGTTATATAAAAAACACGGTGCTTGTCAACACCATACAATGTGAAGAAATGCATGGTAGCTATAATAATGAATTGGAATAACGCTGCACTTCCAACAGTGGTTGTGATATCGCATACACAGCAACATAAACCACCAGTGCTACCTCGATGGGCGTCTATGCCCATAACTAGGAGAACAGCTAAAGGCGGTGACCGAATCTTACAGTTAACATAACATACATGTTTCAATTAATGGAACTTCGTGCATTCTATTCTCTGCTGGATCGTTTTTTACCTTGCTTCTACATATAGTGAAACTTACATATCAACAACACCTGCTATCTACTTCAAGGTGAGAATATCTATTAATAGAAGGATCGGATTTGAGATATTAACTAGACATCGCACATACCTCAATTTGAGCTGTGGTGCGTGGCAATTACGGCAGCGGTGGTGGTGACGGCACTGGCACATCCATGTTGAGATAGTGGTGCTGGCAGTGGCAGCATGGGCATGGCGATGGCTGCGGCGCAAGTGGCAGCATGGTCGTCGAAGTGGCAGTGGCAGCATCGTCGCGACGGTGGCGGCAAGGTAGCAGCATTGGCGGCATGGACGCAAAAGACAGCTTGATCGCGGCCGCAACGGTGCCGACCGCGGGAGCAGTATTCTTTTAGGCATGGTGAACTACGATGCTACGGTACGACAATTTTACATTCTCATAAGATTTATTGAAATATACTAACATGTCTAGCTTGATTAGAGCCGACCATCGATCTTGATCAAGGCACCGCGAACGACAACCGTGGGGAGGCTCCGGCTAGAGTCGCTGGAGGGCTAAAATTCAAAATTTAATTTAACTTTTTTATGTCATTTCTTTTGTTGTGTTGCGCGTATTGATTAACCACCATTACTGCGAGTTCAAAAGCAACTTCTACTCGCCAAGGGGGCCCGAGTAGAATGATCTGATATGTAAGTCCCCCCCCACCT